TAGCCAGAATGAGTCCAGGTGTCATGTGTCCTTTCTATTGCATGCAACATGGGTCAGGTTCAACCCCAAAGGCCACGGCAGTGAAGTCTTCCTGTCACAAAACCTGTCCTTCTGGGGTGGAGGTAGATAGAGGAAGCCCTCTCCTTCAACTCTCCTGTCCCTGTCCCATGCAGAGCCTGGACCCAAGTGGTTTTGACAGGAAGCAGAGGAAGCAGGGAGACTGACAGTAAAACTGACTCCCGAGAGTTCCTGTGTGGCAGAAAGGACAGGAGAGGGGACCAACCCAGGTACCCGGGGTGATTGTGGAAAGGACCAACTGCAAGAAAAAGGGAGCTCAGATCTGAGCTGGCCAGGCACAGGGCGGAGCTCTGGAGATGGAGGAGTGAAGGGAGCTAGTGGGACCATCTTCCCGGGAAGCTCATTTACTCCCAGGGCATCTTCATGTTCTCTCTGTGACAGGCTCATCATGATCATAGCCCTTCCCAGCCCCAGGCTTCAAGATCAAAGGGAACCTTGTGGGGAGCCCCCTGAACCCTGTGGAATCGCGAAGTCTAGAAGGGTCAGGGATGAGGAGAGCCTCCCAAGGAGGGATGAGGCAGGATGAGGGGGGATGAGGCCAGACCTCCTCCCACGAGGTTTGTGAGGGGGTGGGTGCAGCAGGAAGGAGAATTCCCATCCCAGGGAGCCAAGGGTGATGGCAGCTCACAGCAGGAAGTGGCGGGCCAGCTTCCTGCTTGCAGCTGTGCATCTGAGTCCCCAGTTATCCTTCCCACCTTCTGCTGTGCAGGAGGCTATGTGGGTCCCCTCCATGGGCATGAATGGAATCTCAGTTTCCTGATCAGCTCCTCCAGTGGGTGCTCCCCCAGAAAGGAAGCAAGGAGAGTGATGAGGGAGGTGAGGGAAGGGAAGCAGGGGCTGGGGGGACCAGGACTGCCCTGGCAAAGTCTTTCTGTCACTCTGGAGAAGACAGAGGGGGAGAGTCTGGAGGTGGGGAGACCAGTGTAGTGTACTGGAGGACAGGGCAGTCCAGGAAAGAGAAGACAGTGACCTCTGTAATCCCAGTGAGTAGGAAGGCTGAGGCAGGAGGATTGCAAGTTCAAGGCCAGCCTCAACAAACTGAGTAGGGCCCTGTCTCAAAATAAAAAAATAAAAAGGGCTGGGGGTGTAGCTCAGTGGTAGAGTGTCCACGGGTTTAATCCCCATTATATAAAAAATAAAATAACAATCAATGGGCTGAAGAATTTTGGAACTGAAATGGTAAATTGGCAGTTTCAAGGCTGGTGATTCCAGGTATAAACCCAGGGGGCAAAAAGAAGGGTAGGAGAGAAGGATCCTGAGTGCTCTGCTGGAGGGTCTAATTTGACTAGATGGTGATGAAGGTAGGAGGATAGTCTAGAAAGACCCCAGGTTTCTGGCTTGGATCTGAGAAGGATGTTGCCCTTCCCTTTGAAGACCAGAGGAATGAGCTTCCATGAGGAGGAGCTGAGTTCTCTGAAGCCCCCACCCAGCACCCACCAGGCATGCATAAATGTCTCCCGTGCTATAAGGAGGCAGGAACAAGGCAGAAAGAGAAGCAGACAAAGGAAGCCAGGAGATAAAGGCACACCAGCCGGGAGCAACAGGAAGTCAGAAGCCCTCAGCATGTTAGATCCAGAAGGGCTCATGGACAGACAGGACGGAAGACTGGGCCGCAGGCTGGAGCAGAAACTGCACAGCAAGGTGAAGAGAAATGCCTCAGGCCTCCTGCCCCCTAGTCCAAGGCCTTCCCTTCCTCTTCTCCCTGCTCCCTACCTTGCCTCTGCACACAATGGCTCCCTGAGCTTCATCTAGTCTGATTCCAAATTATAAGCACACACCAGAGGTGGCATTCTGCCAGGCCAATCTGTCCAGTGGCAGGATGAAGCCTGAGCTGTCTGATAGCCACAGAGGAGGGACACGTGCCTTCCCATCCCAGTCCACTGCAAACAAGAGCTGGCGACCTGGTGCCTGCACCTTCTCGAATCCAGAGAAGCCCAGCTCTCTCTGGCCATCTCAGGAGGAATTTCAACTGCTGTGATGATGGCTCTAAGGCAGCCATAGGACCAGCAGAGTGCTAATGAGACTGAGCTCCACCAGAGGACAAGATACCTCCCTCCCATCTGTACCAGATTCCAGTTGCTAAGGCTCATGCAAAAGCCAATGAGAGAGAACTGTAAGACACTTCTTGTGCATCAGGTGCAGACCATGGCTTTGCACATGAATTTTCTGATTCCCTCAGCAGCTCTAGAAAGTAAAGAGTATGGCCATTTTTTCCACAATGAGTATACTGAGGCTCAGAGACATTAAGAAATGTGTCCAAAGCATCACAGGGACCACATAGAGATGTTGACCTTCAAACCCAGAAGCCTTAGACTTTTAAATGCCGGATATTATAGCACTGGCCTCAGGATTTTTTCTGACTCCAGGCTCGGGGTAATTTGTACCAACTCATAACTTGTTTTTGGAGAATTTTCAAAAACCCCGTGGAAATATTAATGAAAGTAATATGCATAGAAGTGTACAGTCAGTGGAAAAGCACATTAGAAACATAAGGCATTGCTATTATCCCTTTTTAATTCAGGTCACAAACTTTTATTTTGCCAATTCTGGATATGAAATAAACAAACACATTATCATCAATTACCACATCATTTCATAAAAGAAAAATGATATTAATGCCAAAAATTGTAGGCAGGACATAATAATTGTGGAATTATGTGAAAAGTAGCCCTCTCCACTGAATACATTCAACATTATGGAAAAACACATTACAGTGTTGTTTTTCTCACTGCCAAAAAGGGCGGGTTTATACTTGGGGGGTCACTGGCTGTGACAACCTCCAATGTACAATTGAGCTCCAAAATTCTTCTGCACATTGACTGTTATCTTTCTTTATTCTTTCAGTACTGAGGAATGAACCCATGGGCCCTCCTCTATCACTGAGCTACACCCCCAGCTCTTTTTATTTTTTTATTTTGAGACAATGCCCTGCTCAACTGCTGAGGCTGGCCTTGAGCTTGCAATCCTCCTGCCTCAGCCTCCCTAGTGGCTGGGATTACAGGCACGCACCACAGCCCCTGGCTTCATTGACTATTATTTTTTATTAAGCAAGAGTATCCTTAAGGAGCAGAATCTGTTGACAGCCTTCAGCAATATAATTTTGACTAAAATTGATAACCGTGAAGGGGGAAAAAGACTTTGCCACTATTGAAACACAATTTTTCAGACAGGTCCAGGAGAAACTAACTGTCCTATCAATTCAGTTGTGTCTGCGGGAAACGGAGCTGTGGTTTGGCCTCCTGGAGATAAACCCCAAGTCAAATGGCTGTTTTCATTTCCTAAAGACCCAACAGGAATGGTCTTTTCCTTTCCCACATCCCTGAGGAATGCGATGGCATCCCTGTTAACCATGTTTTTTTTTTTTTTTTACTTTATGATGATTTGGCATCCTGGGGGTCTTCCTGGCCAGAGAGAACCTACCCCTCCTTCACCTGGCTAATTCCCACAGAAAAGAAACTTGCCCAGGGGAACACACTTTCACAGGTGACCAACCAAACTCCAAGCCACACCGCTATCTGCCTCCTTTAGCTAACATTCACCCTTTAAGCCACTAATTCCCCCACCCTAAATCACCTAGGGCCAGGTGCCCAACAACTAGGGACCTCTGCCACCCAGAGATCAGAGACATCATTCAAACCAGCCCATCCTCAGCTGTCCCCCACCTGTCCCGCCTTTCCTGCCTCAACAAAGGCTGTGGTGTATACCTTCGCCTCCTCCTGCCCAGCCCTGAGGCTCTCCGGTGGCCCTGCCGGGCGTGGCAAGACATGCCCCTGTTCTTGGAAACTACATAATAATTTCATCTTCCAATGGCCTCAGTCTCTGTGTCATCACCCAAAATCACCTCCATAAACTAAAATCCTGCAGGCACATTTGGAGTTAGCCCTCTCTTTCTCTGCCCTGCCCTTCCTCCTATTGGGTGGGCTTGAGGCTGGGGACTTGAGTAACCAGCCCCTGGTCACACGGGGGACTTTGTCTGTGAATTGCATCTGAATGTTAGAAACCCAGAAGGCTTCTCTGGAGGCCTGTGCGCCCACTCAGGGACGGGCCCCAGGTTGTGGGAGGCTGGGCTCAGGGACCTCAGCTGAGCAGCAGAGGATGGGAGAGTGTACAGGAAGGCATCCGGCCTGGGCCCAGGGAGGCGCTGGGCAGAGTGGGCTGAGCCCCTGATAGCTGCAACCATGGGTCAGAACAGCAGGAAGGAGAAGTCAAGGAAGTCCTGAGAAAATATACATAGAGACTCCTCTCCCTGGCCCCAGCCTCTTGTGGAAACTCAATACGCTGGCAGTAGACACAGGACTGCGAAGCTACCCACCAAGTCCACCCAGGATGTCCAGGGCAGACTCGGCCCGAAAACTGACATCTCCTAGGACCCATCCTGCGCTTTTCTCTCATACATCGGTATGACCCAAAGCACAACAAAGACAGGAAACACCCGGATGCAACCACAGGAACCCCGTGCTCGGCAGAGAAGGCCTCTACGCAAGGGATTGTGACCCATGCATGGCATAGCCTTGAATGACCTCATTCACTCTGACCTCTGTCACATCACCATGGCGCCACCTATGGCTACTGGGAGTTATGTCACCTGAAGGAGGTCATGGAGGTGTCTAGCCCAGCTGTCTCTGTAGATGAAGAGAACATTTCACCAGGTTTCCCACAGTCCCATTGCTTTGCTGCCCCTGCCCCTCACCTACCAGCCTCACCTCACCCTCCTTGCTCCAGCTCTGACAGCTGAGCTGCCCGGTATGGGGTGACACGGGAACCCGAGTGTCTCAGGACAGTGGCCCAAGCTCAGGCCAAGTGACCCCAAGCTCATTGTTCCTGCCTGTGGGCAAGATAAGGATGACCCCACCACCCTCTGGGCTCTGAGTGGGTGACAGGGGACCCATCCCAAGGGCTCCATGGGGTCAGGCTTAACTCACGCTGCTTCTCCTGGAGGATGCTGGATGTGCACGGCGCTGTCCCTTCTCCTGTGGAAACAAAAGGGACGTGAGCAAACCAACCCTGGACTCTGCTGACCAGGCCCTGTGCCTCCTGAGAGCCCCTCCTAGGGGCTGCCTCTGTCCCTCCACTCCAGAGCAGAGCAGCAGAGGTCTCACCCACCACTTCTGACCCTGCCCCTCCTCCCCACAGCCTTAATCCCGGGCCTTTATGCAATTCACAGCTGGGAGCCCTCATGACACCTGGCCTGGTTCCTGTGACTGCCTGACCTTCTCACAGCCATCTTGTCTGACTCCCTCCTCTCTCAGCTCAGTAAGCAGCTGGTGACCAGGTGCTGCCTTCTGCCCACCCCCCAGTCTCTCCTGAGGGTCAGTGCTACATGCCATGTTCAGGCAACTGCCAAACGTCTCCAGTCCAGAGCTCTCTCCTAAGTTCTTGATCTCAACATCCCACTGTCTACTGGGCTTCTGTGGAAGCTTCCCGGGTCCCTCCTACTCACCATATCACCATGACCCTGCTTCCTGAGCGAGTCGGAGCTTCCCCCAGAAAATGTGTCTGCAGCTTCCCCCAAAGCCCTGCTTCATTGAGAAGGGGTTCCTGGGCTCAGAGGAAGGCCACCTTCAGGCCTCTCCTGGGGTACAGGACCCTACCCCACTCCAAGCTGCCTTGCTTCCTCCCCTTAGGGCTCTAAGGCAGCTCCATCCAGGAAAGACCTCCATCTCCCCAGCCAGCCAGCCAGGGCCTGATGGACAGCTCCTGCCCTGAACATGCCTGGTTCCCCTCTTGCAGCCAACCCAGAGGCTGCCAATAGAATTGCTCACCCCATTTCCATAGCTGTCTGCCTGCCACAGCTGCCTTCCCGGTTTATATCACCCAGATCCTTGTCTGTCTCCCTCCAGCTTGGAACCGGGGCTGCTGAGCTCTCTCAAAGGTAGGCAAGAATAAAGAGTGAGAAGAACATATAGCTGGAGTTTGGAAGCTGAGATTCTGTTCCAGACTCCCACTGACCCTGCTGTGTGACCTGAGATATGTCCCTCTCCCTCTCTGGGTCTCATTCCTACAAGACACTGCAGGATCCAGTATTCTCTAATGACCCTCCCAGCTCTGAAAGCCCTTGGGGTGTTTTGTGTGATGGTCAGACACCTGGATTCAAATACCAGTTCTTTCATTGACATGTACCTTTGGTCAAGTTATGCAATCTCTGTGTCTCATTCTTCTCATCAAGGAAATGGAGATCGTATGGGTCCCTACCTCAGAGGATTATTGTGCAGAGTAAATGATTACAAAGTCCTCAGAACACAGGCAGGTAATGACAGCCATTCAATAAATGAAGATTGCTCTTCTTATTGTTTTATTTTCTTATTTGCTTTTAATGACTGATTCGAGACCTTGTCTCTTTTGTTTTCACATCACCAAGTAAAGCCAGATGGAAATGACCAATGTCAAGACTTGCTCCAGTTCATGATGCTCCCCAGGCCCAAGGGGCACGACAGCCTGAGCGCAACAGGGGCCCAGTTGGAGAACAATGGCCTGGGCCGCATGGCGTGGCCCCCACCCAACATGGTGGCTGCAGAACGTTTCCCAGGAGCTGCAGCAGCCCAGATGTGGATGGGAACAAAGAAAGATCCAGTGTCAGATGCACTTGTCAAGGACCAACGACCAGCACCATGTCTGAACACCGCCTGAGGCCCACGGTCCCTTAGGTGCCTCTAGGGAAAGTCACCTTCTGCCACTACCACCTAACAGAAATGAGGTCACATGCCCCCAAAATACCTTCTATCTGCCAAGAGTGGCACCTAGGGCCTTGGGAGATGCAGAAACGAGGAGGTCAAGGTGAGTACAGGGAAAGAACAGAGGTGCACAGCCCTAACTGCAAAGAAGCATGAGGAACATGGAAGGAGGAGGAAGAGACCCTGTCGGACCCAGGGAAGCAGGTGGCAGAGTGCGATTGCAGCTTCCACGGGGAGAGGGAAGGGGAAGGCGTTCCAAGAGGCCAGCAAGACCATGTCCATGACAGGCCAAGACCATGGAAAGCAGAGAGTGGGAGGGGGTGGCCCTGGGCAGGAAGCCTGTTTACCAATAAGAAAACTGAAGCTTGGAGAGGCGGAGGAACCTACAAACTTCCAAATCTCCTGCTTTATCTACTGTACCCAAACTAGCTGCATAATCAGCAGGGCTCCGTGAGAAAGGAAAGGAAATGGTGCTGTTCAAAAAGCAAGAAAAACATGCTGCTCAAACTGCTAAAAGATCTTTTTTTTTTTTTTCTTTTTCTGGATGACCCTCTTGATCGGTCATGATGCTTTGATTCACTACTTAGTATCATCCTCCTTCATGCACAGGGTGACCCATGAGCTCAGGGTTGACCCTCGCAGCCCTGGGTCCACACTCCCTGATGTGGCACACCAGCTCCCTGGTGGCCCTGCTGCCAGCCACTGGGCCCATGCTGGTGCAATGACCAAGAGCCAGAAAGGTGAGGCATGCACCTCGGCTTTCCTCGGGCCTGCGCCCCGATCCAGGCTAGACAAGCGCACTGCAATCCCCACACCAAAAGGCACCAGGTTCCTAGACAGGGCTGGGGGGAGACTTGCTCCCTCTGAGTCACCTTTGGAATATTGCCAGGCAGGGACAGCTTCACCACCCCAGACACAGAGGGGCAGGAACACCTGATCCCAACCTGTCTGCCCTCAGGCTCCTGCATGGAGGGAGGGCAGCAGCTGTCTGTCTACAGGCAGGGACCAGGAGAGGGAAGCGGTAGGGCTGAGGAGCCCAAGGGAAGGAGAGCAGGAGGCCAAGCACCATCCAGGGACCATGAGGCAGCGCAAGGTGGGACCATACATGAGCCAAATGTGAAGCCCCCGGCACACACAGCGTAGGGCTTCACTTACAAAACAAAAGCTTGGAGGTAAAATGATTCAGAATTTAGAACAGTAAAGTCCAAACCCAGAGCTCTGTAGAACACAGATCATGCTGGGCACGGTGGCACACACCTGTAATCCTAGAGGCTCAGGAGGCTGAGGCAGGAGGATCATGAGTTCAAAGCCAGCTTTAGCAATGGGGAGGTGCTAAGCAACTCAGTGAGACCCTGTCTCTAAATAAAATACAAAATAGGGCTGGGGGTGTGGCTCAGTGGTCAGTGCCCGAGTTCCATCCCTGGTACCACCCCCTCAAAAAAATTAGAACACTGATCACAAACCCTGATTACAACACAGACATCTCTGGTGTTTCCTGAGCACCTACTGGGTGGCAGACCTTGGAGGAGGAAGGAGAGTCCGCTGAGGGATGGGCCAGGTCTGACTCATCACCTCCAATGTTCTCACTCCAGGCCCGTAGCAGCTCCACGCCTCGACAGTTTATGAGCCTCTGATCCCATTCTCACTTTTCATTACCAGAAAGCAAACATGACTTTGAGCACAGCAGGATCTCCAAGGGCAAGGGGACCTGGTGGGGGGGTAGGGCGAGGGCCTGAGAGCCAGGGAAGCAGGAGTGCAGAGCTGGGGGAGGAGTCAGGAGGTGGGGGACCTTGAAACACTGCTTGGGATTTTCATGGGCAGAGGGAAGAGAATTAGGAGAAGAGGTCAGAGCTCAGCTCTGGGACTCCTCACAGCCGGCCTGGAACGTAGCCAGAGTTGTCTAATCCTTGAAAGCTGTACCTGGGCACTCAGGGGCCGCAGGCTCCACCCAGGGCTTCCCCACTTGTGGAATCATTAAGACTGATGCCCCAAAGGCCCCCTAAACAAATAAGGAAACTGAGGTTTGGAAGGACAAAATCACTTACCTAATGTTCAGATCTGGTCCCTCTGACCCCCAAGTCTGGCCAGCACTCTTCCCTCCAGCTCACCTGCTCGTCTGGGTGTTTTAGGCAGGGGCTTTTTCTGGGAAGGGTCTCAGAGCCAAGGGGGAGCCATCAAGACAGAGAAGGTGGCCACAGTCAGGACTGAGGGGAGGGAAGGAAGGGAGTAGAAAGGGGCTGTTTGCAAGGAATGCAGAGGAGAAGCGTCCAGAGGCCTGGGGACTGACCAGAGTTGCCCCCAGGCTCAGTGTCCCCTACAGGAAAACCTGAGCCAGGCATTCAAGGGGTCTGGAAGCCAATGAGGCCACCAATGTGGGCAAGAATGAGCTATTTGACAACATAAGTGCGGGGCCCACATAGCAGGAAGCTGGTCTTTCTGCTCAGTTCAGGCCGGTTCCATCTTCCCTCAAAGCTGCTACCAGCAAGAGAAGGGATTGGTGGACACCCCCAGCTTCCTGATTAGCAGGCTCCCAGGACGAGGGCGATTAACCAAATGTGCAGCTGGCTCAGCGTCGCCTAAATGAGACCCCACTTGGCCTAGAGCTTTCCAGGGCCCCTGGGCCCCGCAGCCTCGCCTCAGCTGGAGCTTGCTTCAAGCGCAGGAGCTGCCAGCAGTTCCTGCAAACAGGACAGCTGCATAGACAGGGCGGGGGACAGGGACAGTAATGCCTTCGCTGCCAGCCCCAGACTGTGGTCCCACAAATTCTGCCTGTGCTAAGGTCACGCAGCCCTGGGAGTCTGAGCTACATCATCTGCCAAAGAAGACACGTTCAAGCCCCGCTAAAGGCTTCCTGAGTGATTTTGTACTTCCTCTTCCCAGCTCCCCACATCCTGAGCTCCTCAGAGCAAAAGGAGGCACCACGAACAGGATGGCTTTCCACCAACACCTGAAACAAGAGAAGCTGCTCCTTGTATCCAAAGTGCGGGTTGTGAGGTTTGCTGGGGCAGCCATTATAACAGACTGGGCTGTGGGCAAGAGGAATGGGGAATTCTCCTCCTGGTCGGCTTGGGCGTGTCTGGGAAGTCACACTGGAGCAGCCCCACGAGCAAGAGAAGCATGACTTTGCCCTGGGCTTGCCCCTTGCTGGCCCTTGGGAGCTCTGGCCAGAATCTGGCCCAGTGGTGATTCAGCTTTTGTAGCAGGCCCGGGAAGGAAGTACCCTCCTCCTATTTGGGTTGTCCCCAGAGCCTGGGCTACAGGTGAAGATTCAAGCTCATTACCTCTCACCTAATCTGCAG